TTTCTAGAGGCCATATGGCTCTGTCCTTATCCCTATCCAAATATTAATTTTGACTTAGACAAGGAGAAAGGAAATAAGAGAAGTGATTCTATGTCACAAAAACATTTATTATTATTATACCAAAACCATCATTTATTCAGCAATAGGTACTTATATTATTATGAATGCTCACAACAAACCTAAGAGGTAGAAATTATCATCTTCATTTTGTTGTGAGAAAACTGGGCTTGGGGAGTTCAAATAGCATGCCAAAGTCAGACAGCAGGTACAGGAAGCTGGGATTGAAAAACAAGATCTATCTCACTGCAAAGTGCATGCTTTTTTTTTTTTACAAAACTATGATAACACTTACAAAAACATTGAAAATCTACTTAAATTTGCAGCTGACAGGAAAGTCAGTACATTAGACGAAAAATCAAGATTTTACAACAGTTTGACAGATTTGAATAGCAGGTCAGAATTAAAAAAATATATATATTAGGTATAAAGGTAAAGTCTCAAATGCCAATTTTAAGAATCAAATGCACAGGCATATGGTTTGGGGAGGAAGGGATGGGGGAAACACACATTTATTTGAAACAGATCAAGTGATATCAACTGACCACAAGCTCAGTACAAACCAACGTTAAGATGTGGCTGTCAAATGAACTAAAGTGATGTTAAACTGGATTATCAGAGACTTCTTTTAAAAGGGAGGAATCCAGTTCTATTCTGCAGAAACTAGACTAGGAAAACCACAGCCAAAGTAGAGTGTTAAGGCCTCTAGAATGGTGAAAATTTTGCTATGAACAAAAGGATTAAAGGGCTTGGTGAAGCTTAGCCGGGAAGAGATGAGACTCATGGGAAATAAAATAACCATCTGCCTATCTGAAGGACCATCACAACAAACAAAAAGACATTCTCTGTTGATCTTGATGAAACAGGTTTGGCTAAAGATACAGGGCTTACTAATAATTAGACGCCTTCTGAGTTACAAACTCCCAATCTATCAGGGAAGACATCCAAGCAGAAGCTATACGATAACCTGGCCCAGGTACTTTAGTATCTACCCAAAGGGGTGTGAAATTCAGTTGATCTTTGTGTGTTTTTGTTCAATCCCTCTTTCTACATACAGTGACATTATTTTCTGAACCCCAAACCAAGACCTGTGATCCTAAAAGGACATTTGTGTTGCTTCTTGGTTTAAGACAGTCCAACAGATATAAGCTATTAGCTCCCAAAATATTGAGTTTCTGGGAGATGTTAATGATTGAAATAATGGAGAAAATATTTGACATTGGGACTCTTTTGGAAAAGGGAATCTATAAAATCACTCTAAGGCAGGCATTTTTCTCTTTTTGAGTACTCAATGTTTTAACCAAATAGGCAGAAACTCTTGGTTAGAGTTCACTCATTTGTTTCTAGCACAGCAAGTTTTCTTCAACTATGGCCTCTTCTTCCAAAAGCTGGGAACCAAAATATATAAGTAACTACTTCAATTCAATCAGATTTAGAAAACCAAGAAGCCCTTGGAAAAGCTTCTTGGAACACAGTAAAACTCCAGATCCTTCTACAGAAACTATCCCAACCCTTCCCTCGTGATATCATTTTCACTTTTGTGGAGATGCTCTAGTATGTGCAGCTTATCAAGGTCCCAAACTATCTGGTTCCTTCAGCCTGGACCAGAGTGCCTCCCCACCAGCTCCCCACCCTGGAATTTTTGCACCAAAAGTGGGTGGGGCAAAAGAAACACCATCCTCACCCTTGGCCAAATCTGGCTTCTCTCCTTCACCCACAAGAACCAATCAGACTAATTAAGATATTGTAATTCCAGATAGCAGTCATTGGGTTGATATCAGCTGTTCCCTATTAGACACAATATTCTTTTCAATAGAGTACTTTGCTTCACACTGACAGTCATTTTTCACCCTGCATGGCAGAATTTCAAAGCCAAGAATCCTGTATTACACAATAAACAAACAAAATTAGACTCAAAATTGCCTTTCTTGATTTTGATGTATTAATCAACTCCTCAGGAAAGCTTCTAAACATTTTCAATTACATCAAAAACAGGCTGGCAACATTTTCCAACTTAAAAAAAAAACAGGCTTAGTTAAAGGTTTGTTTTCTATTCCATGGATACTCTATTACATATTTGCAACTGTTTCTGTTTTAGGACAGATTGATTAATAGCATCAGTTCTAAAATCCCAGCATGACCACAGGGGAAAAAAAAAAGTATTTCCATCTGTGACCTTCATTAACCAAGGCAGATACATCTATTTTGGTGTTTGCTTCTTCCTTCAGCTGCAGCCTTGGTTCCCTGCATCTCTTTGAGAGTACAGGCTTCACTGTTGCCATTGAACACTAACTACTGGTCAGGTGAACACTCTAGAGATAGAAGGCAAATAATAGACCAAACCAGCTCAGGGGAAAAAGTTTTAATATCCCAAGACCCAGTCTCCCTCCTGTACTTTATATCTTACTTGACTGGGCAGCAAAACTGGCATTTGAAATAACAGTGAAATGACCCTGAAAAACAAAACAGGAAGTAAGGTATAGTCGACAAGGATATATAAAATAAAAGGTACACTGGACAATTAAATGCTTAATAGATTAGATGATGGCAGTAGCTAAAGTGCTTAAATTATGTCTGCTACTTTAAGAAGTGGAAATCATAGGAAGAATGTTACCAAGACAAGTGAAATGTTTACACACCCTTCCCTAAATGTATTCCTTAAGAAAAGAGCTTAAGACTGCTCCTGTTGGTAAATGCTTAAGTTTTTTTGTAATCTTTATCTACTAGCTAAAACTGGCAAGTTATCAGGAATTACTGAATCCCTGCAGTTTACAATGTGTGTCACGTACACGAATACAAAAGGAAGGGGATACAAAAGAATTAGAATACGGAAGACCTGCTCACAAAAAGGGCTTACATTACAGGGTAGAAACTGGACAAAAACACTTACAAAACATGTAAGAATACGCTGAAATGTGAAAATGAATGTGATCTATTACATAATTAGATGAGGCTTTATGTGTCCCTGCAATGGAATTTCACCTCTCTTATTGAAATGAAACACAGAACCTGAAAGCTTTCAGCACTTGAAGGAGTTTCTTCCAGAAGATAAAGGGGCTGATCAAATGACCACCCTGGGATTTTTCTCACACACACATACACACACACAGAGTTTTCTTGGCACTCCTTAATACAAATGAGACACTTAAATTTTCAAAAAGACTTTTCTATTTCATTTTGCATAAAATGCATAAAAAGAAGTCAAGCTTATAGAGTCCAGCACAATAGCTACAAAAATCCCTTGGCCCTCACGAATATTCATATTCTTATTTCCCAAAGGAGCTAGTGATTCAACACTAATCTAAGGCTGTGGGCCTCATGGATGCCATTAAAGACAGAATTTTTAGGGTCTGTCCTAATATTCACCAAAATTAGGGATGACTCTCAACTCCAGAATAAACTGCACTTTGATTCTTTATATCAAGATGGAGAGGAAATTTCAGGATGCCAGAAGACAGACTCTCACATACTTTTACTTCCTATCAAATGAAATACCAAACAATATCTCAATATTATTCATACTAGTTCCAGAATTCCTATCTAAAAGTAAAATAGGTGTTAATCATCCAAAGTTGGTATTGCTCAATTAGGGAGTGAAGCCGAGAGGAAAAACACATTTCACTCCTACTGGTGAGTTTCTGTAGGGATCGAACTGGAGGAACGATTCCCAGAAAGTAGACAGAGTCCTGAAAAAGGCATTACTTGTCTATACACAGAAATTGAAAACCCACAGCAACATCCTTCGCACCTTTGCTTTTCTTATATGGGATAGGAAAGAACATTTTCTTCTGAGTCACTGCAGCCGAACCAACAAAAAGTACTGGCAAGCAGGTGTTTTCCATTAACAGGCTTTAAGCAGGCATGTCTTACGCTTTATGTAGGTGTTTCTTTTTTCTCCTCGTTGTAAATACACAGCAGCCTATCTACCAGAAAAGGGAATAGGGATTTTGTTCTTCGATTAAGAACAATGATCACAATCTATTAGTCTCTGTAACACCAGGAAAAGAAGAAATCACTACACATCAATGCTAAGTGCTCAGGCCCCACCTAGGGACTTTCCTAAGAGTCTCCCAGAACAGGCCCCCTTTGTGTAGCTCGCTCACAGTTTGCTTTGCCTAGATAACTGATAAACTACCTGACTATACATTATCATCGTCAACTGAGACCTCCCATCATTTACATTCATGGTTTGGTAGCTAATGGGTCCAAAGACAAATATCTTGATGAAACCACGTTAAAAGGAAGAGTTACTCACATAGTAAAGGGGGATGTGACTCTGTCAGTGACCATACACAGTACGTGTGTAAAGGGATAGTAGCCAAAATGGAGTGTCTTATTCAGGATTGAAATGAATCGAGGAAAACTTTCTAAAGGTGGTGAGATCTCCCTATAGAAATGACCATTATCCAATTGTATGTCTTATAAGGCTCCTATAAATTGTAACTCTGGTAATTTACATGAATCAGTTAACATCTATGTCTAGTAATCACCAGCAGGAAAATTAAATATATCTGAAATAAATGTCATGTTAACTTTCTGTTTCATTTATCACACTAATCCCAACATATGTTCAGTCTTCTTAATCTACAGATGCTATTACATGATTCTGTGCTCATGACTTAAAAAAAAAAAGGAAAGTTAACTTTAAGACATCTAAATTAAACATTTTTGTTAGGAAAACAGTATGTCAGTTCAAAGGAGACGGCTGTGCTAATGTAACAAAAGGTCTACAGCATTCCTTACACTGAATGAAGTAATCCCCCATTCAGGTTGGCCCCAGAATGATGGTACCCAAAGAACTTGACAGAGGAAATGAAATTTCAGCAAAAATGGGACCCTATGAGATTAATAGCTTTATAATTTAATATTTACATGATTATACCTAAAACACTAACTCAAGGTATAATGAAAGGTCACTGGTTAATACAAGCTTAAATACTTACAGTTATCAAGATAGTGGTCACTGACAAGTTAAACTGAGAGAAGGGGCCTGTGCTATGTCTGGTCCTGCCGAGCAATTTTCAGACTTCAGCATATCCTGGCAACTGTGATCAAAGAACACACAGAAACTAGAATTATAATTATGAGACTTTACATTGTAACAGTTAGCATACTTTCACTGAAAATAGTAGAAAGCTGAATAAAACTGGCTGTAACAGTAACTTTTATCACAAAACAAGATGTCCAGAGGTAGAGTAGTTCCAGTGTGAGTTCACTTGGTAATTCTCCAACATCAAGAAGGACCCGGGCCCTTTCTATCTGTTCTCTCTGCCAATGTAAGCATGTTGGCCTGTCCCCTGTGGATCCTCCTCAAGGTCCTAAGATGGCTTATGCAATTCCAAGCACCATATAAAGATGATAACAATCAGAGGCAGAAGTGTCTCCTTCTATGCATAAATTTTATCCAGAAGCACCCTCCTCCCCCAAAGACTCCCATCTCAGCCCTCATTGACCAAAATTGTGTCACAAACTCATGTGTAAATCAATCACTGGAAGGGAAAAATGTCTGGTTTGGACTATTCAAAATTCACCACCCCTCAAGGCTGAAGGGAACTCCAACTTCCCCCAAAGGACATGGTCACCCAGTATTTGAGAAAAATTCGGGTTCTACTAGCAAGAAACAAGGTTAGTAGAGTAGGTGCCCTAAAGTGTCTGCTACATGTACCTAATAAGAATAGAAATAGAGCTTAACTCACGACACATGGCTCAATGCATAGAGCTGACACTGAGTTTAACTGCTGGACAGTATCATAGATCTAAGACTAGCCATTGTTGCTATAGCAGTATGTCTTCACAGAAAGCTGCAAAGATGTGAATCTCTCTTTAAAAGGCAGTAAGTGATTATAATTGAGGAACAAATCATTGCTAAATCCATATCATCTACATGGACCCAGAATAGATATTTCACTTTTTATTGAAAAATCAAGAGTTCCCTTTACTGGAAATTTCCGTTCCAACGAGTTTCCAGGAACAGTTTCACATTCCAGATGTGCATTTGTAATAAATTTGTGTTGGTTAGTTGGGCTCAATTTATCTAATGAGCCACTAAAGTGGTCAACTGTTTATGTAAGTTAGGAATTGTGGATACATTAAAAAGTAATTTATTACATAAAGTACTACCTGATATACTCAGACATACATCATTTAATTTTTTCATTTCATTCCAAATTCTTCATTTATTACATGGTCATCTCTCATACGGAAAAAAATAGTTATGATACTTGGTAAATATGTGTTCTTTTCTAAAATATTTAATTAATTCTAATGAGAAATAACACTAATGAACTTAATGAACTATTTTAATGCTATATAAAATATACTTAAGGGATGTCAGGAGAGATAATGTGGGACAACTGTAAAGCAACCAACTGAGAGGTAAGAAACATGAATTCGAATTCAAATTCTAACCTCATTTATTCAGTACTCACTATGTTCCAGGCACTGTACTAGGTACTTAACTCATATTCAGTTATTTAATCTTCATAATAGCCCTCCAAATATGCCCTCCCATTTTCGTATGTGGAAACTGAGGCACAGAGAGGTGACATAACTTGCACAAAGTCATACAGCTGATAAGTAGTAGGCAGACTGGGACTTCAGAACCAAAACACTTAATTATGGTTCAATGTGATTTCTCTAGTCCTGGAATTGCCACTAGTTGCTTGGAGCTGCAGTTTCCTAAGGAGTTAAATAAACAGCTGAACAGAGATCTTTAAGAAAATTTCCAGCCCTAACACTTAAAATATAAGCTGTGACCTTACAGAATCTTCCTCTGCCAAATGCTTTATATTAAAGTTACATTAATCACTCGTGTCTGGACACTTACTTTCTAGCAACAATTACAATATACTCCAGAGGAAGAAATAACTAAAAAGCCAAGTATAGTACTAAGTCACAGGAAAAACACATCTTCTTGAGGAGTAAGGTTGCAGTTTGTCAAATCATGAATTGCCCCAGACCCTGGTATGAGATCTACCTAGGGGGCAGCCAACAGAACTGGGCTTCCTACAATAAGGCTTCTGAATTAACTAACAACCTCCCAAAGCATGTACATTTCCTGACATTAGACAGTGGGAAATTCTTCCCCTTTCAGAGTAAAAAGTCTCCCTTCTCTCTGAAACTCCCAAGGGATTTAGAATTGAATTATCTCAAACCATCTCACCAAACATAATAATAAGTATTTGTAAGATTCCTCAAAATATCTCTGGAGTATCCAGACAAAGAGTAGAGCTATACATTTCCAGAAGAATTAATATTAAATTTATTTCTCCAACACTGTGAACTACCCACTAGAGTGACCTACCATTCAGCTAGTCTGAAGAGCAAATTTTTAGATCTAAATGATTAAAGCATCGAATCTCACTTTAATAATACAAGCAGGATTGGAAAGTATCTTCCTGCAGTATGTGAAGTAGTTCATATTTGTTACTACTTTTTCTCTGTGTGTCAAGAGGGACATCAAGTTGTTTAAGCTCTAGAAGACTGTCTGTCAGGGGCACTTTCTCAACCTGGTCTGTGGAGCTCCTATGATCCCTTGATGGGATAGATAGAGCAAAACAGTGCAAAAGAGAGAAAATTTCAAAACACTCATTTTTTTAAAAATCACTTGAATAAATTCAGCAAATTTTGGTAAGGATCAATTTTCTTCGGGTTACACAGTTTTCTTTTGGGTACTCAGTAATATCTCAATTATCCCCAGTAGGTAGGGATATAACAATGTTTTGAATACAAAAATAATTTACGTATCATGGTGCTTTTGTGTATATAGGTGTTTTGTTACATAGACTATTTTGCTTTCCTGTTGCATTCTTTTTATGTTACATAATAAAGTTAATTTGTTATTCCTGAACAACAACAACAAAAAAGACCTTAAAAAGCCCAAAGCATTATGAATGCCAAGGTCAAGGTGTGAAAAATAAACCTGCTACAGTATGCAGGACTAATCCATAACAAATTTTTTGAGGATACTTATAGCTTGTTTAAATCTATGATTTGAAATGTATTTCGAATAAAAGTGCTGGACATCTCTATTTCCACAATTGTAATCTCTTTGTCTTATGTTTAGATAAATTAAGAAGAGTTTTATGACATTTTCCACCAAGAAAGAAAGGTTAGGCAGCTGGATAACTGCATAGAAAGCCACTAATGACAAGAACCAACTGCTTGTTACTTAAATGTTTCTCATATCAGAAAAGCACGGAGTCTTTTTGGGTTGTTTCTCCCCTTAGTCCTTCAGGCCAGTCAGATTCTACAGACAAGGGGGAAATGAGAAGAATTACTACTCTGTCTCGCCTGAGCTATTGAGTTTATAGTAAAAGTTAAATAAAATATAGTAAAATAAAATAAAGTAGCTACAGGTAATTTGGATGTTAAGCAACAAAACAATCACACAAGTATGAACCGAAATAACAAAACTCATTCTGTAACAATGAGACCTTCAGATTCAAGTGAAGTGGAATGATCAGTGAAGTGCATGGGCAGCAGAGTCCCACCACCTCACTTCCAAGCCTGGTCAGCCTCTTCCCTACCTCTGGCTATTTAACTTTCCTAAATCATGTTTCCTCATCTGTGAAATGGGAATACTCACCACAAAGTGTTATGGTGAGAAATAAGTAACCAGATTGAAAGCATTTCAAAGTGTGTGGCACATAGCCAACATTCTATAATACATGCAAGCTGCTACTGTTATTAACCCAGGAGTGAGATTATCCAACTGAGGGACAATATTTGGACAGGACATCCTGATCTGAGAATGTCTCTCATTTCTCATATTGACATAATTTAAGTTCTTCTTTCATGAATTCTTTTGAAAACTTAATTCCACAAGTAATATACATATATTTTATAAAATAAAAAATACTGAAGGATTAACACATTGTAAAATTACTGTAACTCAATAAAAAAATAGTTTAAAAAAAATACTGAAGGACAGGTTAAAAGTCAGAGTCCTACACCCATCCCCAATACCAACTGTGATTATTCTTACTTTAAAAGTAACAACTGTTCTTGGTTTGGGGTATATGTTTCTATCCCTTTTTATGTTTAGACAAAAACAGATGTAGTTATTTACAATTTTTTAAATAATAATTGAATGTTATAAAAATTATTCTATTACTTGCTCTTTCACTTAACAACATATTCATGATATCCTTCAGTATATGTTAGATGTGAATATGCTATTGACATAAATTTAATATTAAATTTTAAATGAGACAAATAGGATAAATAATGAAAATAAGGACATAGTGTTCACTCACCATTTTTTAACTTTTGAGAGTGATGATGGCATTGTGATTATGTTGATTTTTTTAAGTCCTTTACCATTTAGAGATATTTACTGAAATATTTACAGATAATTATATGATGCCTAGGACTGGCTTCAAAATAATTGAAAGAGGAATGGAGAGAAGAAAACTAAGGGGATATAAATAAAACAAGATTGGCCATGAGTTAATAATTAATCTGGCTGATGAGTAAACGGGTGTTAATTATACTTTTCTCTATACTTTTGAATTAAAAAAAAATTTTTTTGGTTTTTTGGGGGGAAGGTTGGGGGGTAATTAGGTTTTTTTTTTTTAATGGAAGTACTGGGAATTGAACCCAGGACTTCATGCATGCTAACCATGTGCTCTACCACTGAGCCATACCCTCCTCTCTACTTCTTAATATTTTTGAAATTTTCCATATTAAAAAAAATTTAACATATTCTATGCTTAAAATTTATCTACTAAATTCCAAACAGCTATGTATTTAACTTGCAGTAATTAATTTCTGATTAATTTAATCAACAAAACTAATGGTTCCCAACACCCACCCCTGAAGCAGCACAAGCAAAAAACAACTTAGCTTCCTTATAGTTTGAATGTTGCTATAAAAATCCAAATACAATAACCAGCCCAAAGAAGCAATATTCACTAATGTTATGGGAGATATTTACCGACAAGTGTAAATTACTATTATAATTACTGCTTTTTAGAGTTCATAAAGAAGTGTTTTCCTTTTTCTCTTATATTGAAATTATAGCAGCTGGATGAAAAAAGAAATT